GCCTGTCCTTGGGGGCCAGGGAACGTCTGCTGGCCCTGGCCACACTCATTCCTGCCATCACCAAGAGGTGACTAACACAGAGCTGTGGGTCCCCGAGCGCGGGAGGGAACGGCACCACTGCAGACACCTCTCTCTTGCAGATCAAGACCAACTTTGAGAGCAACCTCAACCTGGCCTTGAAGGACTATAACGTGACTGCGGACCGGCACAGCGAGGCTGTTGATACCATCCAGAGAACTGTGAGTGCCCCAGAATGGTGGTGGGAGAATGGTTCTGCACCACGGGGGTTTGAGTTTGGGAGGAGATGCTGGGCGAGATGGAGAGGCAGGGGCAGGAGAGGCAGGGAGCAATGGTAGGACATGGGGGTCAGGCCCCTGGTGTGACCATGCTTCCCCCTCCAGCTGCACTGCTGCGGGGTGCAGAACTACTCGGACTGGGAGAGAACTGAATACTTCACCCAGAGGGGCATCCCCCGGAGCTGCTGCAAGAGCCAGGACGACTGCTCGCAGGAGGACCTGAAAGACCTGAGCAAGGCCAAGCTGAAAGTGTTTGTGGATGTAAGTGAAGCTCAGCAAATCCCCCTGAGGTGGGCAGGGCAGAGCTGGATGGGTGGAGAAGAGCTTGTCCTTCCTGGTGAGGCTGGAAGGAACTGCTCCCTGTGGCCCAGGGATTCCCCTAGGGTGGAGGTAGGGGAAAGGTACGGAGAAATGAGCCTTTCCTTGTGTCTGATGTCCCCTCTGCTCCTCCTTTGGAGCTCAGGGACTAGCCAGACCCAAGTGTTTGTGTGTTCTGGAGAGCTGGGGAATAAGAAGGTTGTTCCCCAGTGAAGTATGGGCACTGCTGACGGCTCCCTGACCCGGTGCTGCGCAGGCAGGGGTGACCTCACCCTGCAGGTGATGCAAGGGACGTGCCTCTCATGAGTCACTGGCTCCAGGCAAGGATCAGGAGCACCTTGCTCAACCCAGTTCCCTTGGGGGCAGCCCTCCCCTTGATAATGCTCCAGGGCTGGGAGCTGCTCACTGATAGGGGAAGGACTTCGACAAGGCCGTGCAAGAGGGTGGCAGCCGGTAGAATGGGAGCATCTTCCCCCTGGAGCTGCTGGTGTGTGCTCTGGTGATAAGCTCTGCACTCACGTGCCTGCTTTCCCTCCTCTGCAGGGGTGCTTTTTCCTGGTAACCTCAACGATGGAGTCAAAGATGAGCGTTGTGGCTGGAATCTCCTTTGGCATTGCGTGCTCCCAGGTAAGTCTGCCTTGCCTGGCACGGGAGGAGTGCATAAGCTGGAGTGTCTCTGGATGCACTGAACTCCTGCACAAAGGCTGGCGTGTGTACAAAAGGCACAGCCTGTGTCAGCCAGGGAGGAGCAGCTATTCTGCAGGTGCCCCTTGGGTTTAATCTCACCATTGTGCTGTCCCCAGTCTCTTAAACCCCAGGCTGAAGCACTAGCTCTGTTTCCATGAGCCCAGGTTGTTTGGGAAGAGCTCCTGCCTGAGACAACCGGCTTCAGGAAAAACCAGATGGAGCCTGTGCTGGGCAAACCCCCTGCGTTTGCCGTTGGGATCAAACGTGTGCCCTTCCTTTTCCGACCCACCCACCTCCCTGTTTGTCAGGGAGGTGTTTTGGCATCACTTCAGCGTGGCTGGGTCCCGTGGGGCATCATTTGTGCCAGTGGCTTACCCTGTCCTCTGTGTCCTGCTCCCCAAGCTCTCCTTTATCCCGCAGGACACTTCCTGCAGGAGCTGCAGCAGCAGCAGCACGCTCGCCAGCCCCTGCTCCAGCAGGCTTTATCCCATCAGGAAACGAGGGCCCCCTGGCCCCAGCTCCTGTATGCTGGCTCTTGGGCACGCTGATGTTGTGGTGGGGTTTCCTGAAGTGCCGAGGGTTTTCCGATGCTCTGCAGCCTGGGCTCTGGGATGGCCTTGACTTCAGAGGGGCTGGAATTCACCTTCTTGATCCAGCGCATGCGGGCTGTGGTGTGAGCTTCCAGGTGGAAGCTGACCTGCACCAGCACAGAGGACAAGGAACCCCACTGAGATATTCCTCCCATAACAAGCACGTTGCTGTGTGTTCCCAGTAATAGATGGACTGAGCTGGGAGAGAGGCAGGAGCAGCAGCTCCTGGCTGCAGCTTGTGCTTCCAAGTGCTTTCGGATGCACCTGGGAGAGCCCGAGCTAGAGCCCCGGTGCTGCACCACCGACCCCACTGTCCTCAGTGAGCTGTGGGGTCACTGGGACGTGACAACATGGGGACAGTGGTGACCTGCATCCTCCCAGCTGCCAAGTTATCCCGGCTGATGCCGTTCCTGGTTGGGAATCGGTTCCTGCTTCCAGCCTTGCTGAGCTGTGCGGCCGGCTGGGACCCATCGTGCAAATGTGCCTTTAACTTCGCTTGTGTAGGTCAAACTCCAGCAGGATCCGGCCCCAAATGTCTGCTCAGGGGCTGGGAGGATGTGATGTGATAACAGGAGCGTGTCCTTCAGATGCTGATGGGAAAACACCAACCTTGTCCTTGCAACAGGGAGAGGTGGCTGCTGTTCTCTAGTGGCTGTGTAATTGGCTGTGACGTTCCTCATATCTGTGTAATCTCCAGAATTGCCATAAACCAGGAGATGCTTCATGAAGCAAAATGTAACAGGATGGGATGAGGAGCATCTCTTGTGGGGAGCTTGTTTGGCTGAGGCCTGCAGGATCCTGTGCTTCAGCCTCTCGGTTATTCCGAAGCAGGGCACAGCAGCCCATGTTGTGGTTTGTAAATGCCACTGTCCATGCTTGGATTTTATAATACTGGGGCCTCTGGAGCAATTTATCGGGTTTTTCCCCTAAAACCCACCATATCCTGGTTTTGGCTACATCTAATGTGTGTTTTCCTGCCTCTTTTTCAGTTGGTTGGCATCATTCTCGCCTGCTGCCTGTCCCGGTACATCACCAACAATCAGTACGAGATGGTGTAGGTGGCCTCCAGCGCGCTGTGGCTGTGGCCAGGTAGGTCTGTCCAGTGATGTAAGCTCGGTGGGTGGCCTCTGCATCCCTGGATGCTGCCTGGTCACCCCTGGGACCCTCAGCATGGTGCTGGGTACCACATGTGGGATAGAGGGCACCTGCAAGATATTGTCTGCTAATGTCATGTGTGCTGGGCTGCACCCCCAGAGTGTGAGCAGCAGGTCAAAGGAGGGGATCCTGCCCCTCTGCTGCGCTCTGGGGAGACCCCCCCTGCAGCCCTGATCCAGCTCTGGGGAACAGCACAAGAGGGACGTGGAGCTGCTGGAGCGAGGCCAGAGGAGGCCCCGGAGCTGCTGCGAGGGCTGGAGCAGCTCTGCTCTGGAGCCAGCCTGAGAGCGCTGGGCTGGGGCAGCTGGAGAAGAGAAGGCTCCTGAAGGGGACACCTTAGAGCAGCTCCAGGGCCTAAAGGGGCTCCAGGAAACCTGGAGAGGGGCTTTGGACAAGGGATGTAGGGACAGGACAAGGGGAATGGCTTGAACCTGCCAGAGGGGAGACTGAGATGAGCTCTGAGGCAGAAGCTCTTCCCTGTGAGGGTGCTGAGGCGCTGGCCCAGGGTGCCCAGAGGAGCTGTGGCTGCCCCATCCCTGGCAGGGTTCAAGGGCAGGTTGGACACAGGGGCTTGGAGCAACCTGCTCTAGTGGAAGGTGTCCCTGCCCGGGGCAGGGGTTGGAGCTGGATGAGCTTTAAGGTCCCTTCAACCCGAACCATTCTGTGATCATTTTAAGGCGTGTATAGCCCAGCCTGCTCTGCTAACGCTGTTCCATGTGTTGCAGGGTGTTCTCTCCATGGTTTCCACCACCTCCAGTTTTCCTCTGGATGCCGCTTCGGGAAATCTTGCTTTGAACTGACTGATCCTCTCACCTAGCCCATAGGAACGAGTGCAGCAGCTGCCCTGTTGCCCTCGGGGACTTGTCCTGACACTACTCTGCTGTGCCACCGTGTGGGATAATCGGTGTAGCTGCGGTGGTTATAGCAAGCGAGCAGCCCTCGGCTCAGTGCTGAGCCTTGTGGGACTCCTGGTGCTCCTCTCAGTGCCTCCATCGGGAAAGCAACGCTTCCCTCATCTCCAGCAGCCCCCTTGGACGTGGTTGCTCTTGAGATGGGGCTGTTGCCCTGTTCAAACCCACGCTGCCTGCCCAAAGCCCTTCGCTCAGCAAGGTCCCGGCTTGTTGCCAAGCTCTTCCCTCTCATCCCTGCCCTGGGGTTTATATACTTTTTGATAGTTGTACTTTCTGAAGTACAGGCTGTAGTGATTCTTTGTAAGCTGTAGCAAGGTCTGGTGATGTAGCTTCTGGTGCCTTTCCCTTGGTAGGTGTCCTTGCACCGAGTCAGCTGTGACTTGATTGTCAGTATTACGTGCTGCTTTAACTGATTTTGTGTATTGAGTAGAACTCTCTTGTCCTGAAACACAATAAATATTAAGATATTTTACTCTCTGAAACCACCTTGGCTTTTCTTTTCATCTCCTGGCACTGAAGAGAGCAGCAAACCCCACTGGGAGATGATCCAGTTGCCCCAGGCTAGCAAAGAAGCACTGGACCATTGCAGCTCACATCTCCAATGCTCACTGGTGCACTTCTGCTTACCAATAGCTCCTGTAATTGAATTTCTTCATAGCAGTGCTTGTGTAACTGTGCTGGAACAGAAGGCCTGGAGCATCCCAACCCCGTGTAAACATGTGGATCACTCGGAGCAAAGGGCAGGGCAGCACTGCTGGAGCTGCCTGTGGGCCCAGCCCCTCCTCAGGGTAAGAAACACGCATTTAAGCATCTGTGTTCATTTGGTACTGCTCATCTTTGGGCTGTTCATCAGGAAGCTTTGCCGTGGTGGGGCCGTGTGGTGCAGTGAAAGTCCCCTCCCTGGGGGCTTTTTGGGTCTGGAGGATGGGACTCATGAGGGCTGTGGCTTGGAGCACGGGGGAAGGTGGCAAAGGAGCAGTTAAGCCACGGGTAGGAGTGGTGGCTCTTTGTCAGTGCACGCCTGGCTGAGCTGTCCCGTGGCGCGGCAATGACCCGGCGCGGGGCAGCCTCGCTGCTGACGGAGGAAGCCGAAGGGAACACCCGGGATCCTGGAGTGTTGCATTGAAGCCGGGTGAGTAAATCAGAGTGCTGACAGCACTGAAAGCCTCCCGGCTCGGGCAGCGTGCGTCAGAGCACGGAAACCAGATCGGAGGGATCAGCCCACAGCGGTGGAGGGATGGATGGAGACGGGAACGCGTGAGAGGCAGGGCCAGGTTTGGATAAACCCATCCTCATCAGAGGGAAGTGTCCCTGCCTCTGCTGGCAGCTTCCTTCCCCGGGCACATGTGTGGGGTGATGTCGTTAGAGGGGTGTCCAGAGATTCCAAGCTGCTGCAGGAAAAGCAGCACTGATGGTCCATGCTGACCAGGGGAGCGCAGAGGCTTGTCCAGCCTGCTGGTCCCCATGGCCAGAGACAGGCACCCATCAGAGGGGTGCAGATCTTACCCAGTTGAATAGAGCTTGTGTAGACACGTTGCTTTAATTTGCAGAGACATCAGTGATGTCCCGGAGGTACAGGCATGTGGTGGGGGATGCCGGGCGGACTCGGGCACTGCTGTCCTGGCGAAGGCATTGGTGTTCCTTGGTGATGTGGTTGGACCCCTGAGCCAGGACACGAGCACTGGGTGGTTCTGGGCAGCAGCTGTGGCTGGGTGGGTTTCACACGTCCCTGCTGCATTCAGACCTCCCCTCATGGGGATGAATGTCTTGGGGGATGCATCAGAAACACGTGGTGTCCCTTGGGGTGCTGTGTGTGGAGCTCTGCTGCTCTGCTCAGCACAGCTGTGAGCAGGGGTGAGGGAGCTGCCCTTAAAATGTGCTTAATTCCCGCCGGGAGCCGCAGGGATGCAGGGAGGGCTTGGCAGCCCCAGGGACACTGCGGCTGGCACCCAGCACAGGGGCAGCGAGCAGGACCTGACCTCTGCTCCCCCTGGCTTTGGCCACCCGGTTCCCCAGGGAGGCTCCTGCTTCCCAGTGCCCACATCACTCCTAATGGGACTGCAGCTGTCACTAATAACTACTGAGCACATCGGAGCATGCTGGAACAGCGGGTTGGGACTTGCTGAACAACTACCAGTGCCATCAGGGAGCAAATTAGGGACCTCGGCACGTTCCAATTAGGTACCTCGGCACGTTCCCAGTGAGGTGAGCGCTGGCAGTCCTGCTCCTTGAGTTATAGATGCTGGTGACGAGGCAGCTGAGCAATTAGATCACTCCCAGACCCATTAAGCATCCCAGACTGAGACTAAACGACTTCCCATTGTCTTTGCAATCACTCATACAAGACGTTTATTGTTTGCCTCTTGCCACTCTGCACGGACCCCACAGCACTTG